TTATTGAAAACTTTACAGTAAAAGTATAAATAAAAATATAATAAACTAAAAAACTACTCTTCAAATGTTATTAAAGCCTTTTTGGCAGTGGTATTTATATTTTTTCAAATGTTATATGTAAGGTACTTAAGTAATTTGTAATTCTAGTTATGGCAACTTTTGACATTGCAGGCCGGTAGAAAAGTTTTGAATTTTTTCTTACTACGTTCAATTTGGTTCAACTAGTTTGTGTTTCTTACTTTCTGGTGTAAGTTTGCGTCATGAAGATTGTATTAGTGAATTACTTTATTTTAACGACTTGGTATTACTTACGGACTCTGGATTTTTGTACTGCATCTATATACTCGGCACCCAATACGGACTTTGGATTTTCTACTACTACGCACGAATTGGCATTCAATATTCCTTTAATTTATACGACTGTTTCTACATTGGAATACGCAATGCCTACGAAATTGTGTTATTTTGGCTGTAAGCTAGATGGTAAGTATTTGCGTAAATGAATATATGTCTTATTTTAAGATTCCAATAGGAACATAACAAACCCATATTGTTTTTATTTTCAGTACCTACCTATGCATCGTTTTCCAAAACCTGGCTATTATAACGAAGCTAGATTTAATATGTGGGTGGCAATATTTTGTGAGGAAACGAAACTCAGAGGAACTTCATATATATTAAGTAATATCTACATATGTGACAGGCATTTTGAACAAGTCTCGCACTGTTGGAAGAAGGCTTACTGCTAACATTTATCCCGCTTTAAATTTATGTAAGTATATAGCAGTATGTTGCTTGCTTTCTGGGTAAGTAGGTATGTAGTGCAGAAGTGTAATTTCTATATAGTGGTAATATAGGAGAATCCACTAGCTCTGTATAATAAAAAACTGTTAGCAATCTGCCACCAGCAAAAACTCATTGGTATAACACCTCCGAATAGAACCACAAGAATAAAAGTGATTTTTTATAAACAGGAAACTTGAACTGAAACCCCTCATTAGATGAAATTTTGTTAGATACATTAGAGTTTTTTAGGACAGAAAAGCAATTTGTCAATAAATTTTAAAAATTTAATAATGAAGAATACTATAATTCTAAAAAAGTAAAGTAACAGCCTATAAAGATAAAGATACATTTATTGAATAACTATGTACAATATGATCTTAGTACAAAAATATATAGTTTTAGGCTCAACAGTTTACCCATTTCGGATATGCAACAATTAAGAAAATAAATTTAAAATTTACTACTTACTAACATTAATTTTATTAAAAAAACTCATTGAGAAAAGTAAAAAACATTTTCAGTTAACAATTTCTTTAAACATTAACATATATTCATTTATTTGTTTAATAGCTGGTGGTAGCTGATTGTATACATGAATAGCAGTAATATACATAGGTACTTTTATAGTAAATCATATTTTTAATAACGGGTAAGCTTATAATTTATATTGATTGCAAATGTTTTTCTTTGAATCAGATTTCATATTAAAATATTCTGAGAAGGTTTTAGGGCAAGAAAGTGTCCTCCGTGTAGCCCCAATGCATGTTGGCGGACTTCAAATGTCTTATTGTTTTTCATTTCTTAGACGTGCCAGTTTCCTCACGATATTTTCCTTCACCACAAAGCATGTGGTAAATTAGCACTTAAATTGGCAATTAACAAATTCATTGGTGCCGGCGGGGATCGAACCCAGGGTGAAAACTCCGAAACTGCAAGTTCTACTGAAGTTAAATATTTAAATATAAGAATTAAAAGCATGCCTTATTCATGCTGATATCTTAGGTTGGTCTATTCTTAGGGTTGCACCCAGGGAGTACAAAATTAATTTAAACATATGTTTATACAATATAATTTGGTTTTTGGGAATGGTTTCAACTCGATCTTCAATGATGAATATCCATACTGAAATTTCACATACTACTGAAGGTAATTTTTTTCATTTAAAGCTTGTTATTAATTGAGTACACTTACGCATGCCTGTCATACACTGAGAGTGCCTGGTCCTGGTTATGTGCAGTGTTCTTGATTATACCTCCTTGTCACCAGCCACATATTTCCCACTCAATATGACAATGTGTTTTCTTCTAATGCTCATGGGCACATACTTTAATGTAATTGCTACTGACTGGCACTATTCTGATCTTGAATGTTTCAATTAATGAGTTTTTAACCCAAAATTGCATGACTCAATCTTTTTTTATAGGATAAGGGTGACAAACGAGCACACAGTCCACCTGATGGTAAGTAGATGCTGTGGCCCATAGATATCTACGTTCGATTAAGAATCAAAATGCAGATGCATTGTCACCCCTGAGGACTAAGATGGAATGCCTCGTAAGTGGAATGCCAGTGCCAATGCCAAAAATGCCAAATGCCAGGAATGGAATGCCAGTAAAATGGGTCTCTGATTCTCTACACTTACCATACGAAACACAGCAGCATTAAGTTGCTATTTTATGCTGGATTTCTGTGAGAGTGTGGTCCTTCCCAGGTCCAGCTGACCCATTCATGAATGTTATGTACACTCGTTATTGATGTACATATCAGAGAGTATAAAAATGCGTATGTTTTCGTTATTATGTCGTATATGTGTAATGTAAGTGTACTTGTTAAATAAAATAATAAAAATTTAATTAATAAAAGCATTTGTCGATTAATAGTTTTGGCATCTTTTACTCAAGCATAATGATACACTATATTTTTTCAGAAACTTTACCAAAGGCCTCTACTTCAAAGGAAGCATATCAAATGGGAAAACAGTCTAAACTCAAAAATAAAGATGTAAGTAAAAATCGTATCAAGTACTAGTATATGTATTATTTAGTTAGTATGCCTGCTGAATATAAATTGGCTGTATTGTCAAATATCATTTTATAATAACATAAAATAAATTAGATTAGAACATATTGTGTTTGTTGAAGCGAGTTCCACCTCAGTGTCTGGTTCTTTTTCTGTTTTTGATGCTTATATACAGTGACCTATTACTAAATGAAACTGGGGTCCAAACTAGTGTCCCAGCCAAAAAAGTTTCGAAATGCAAAAATAAGTTTTGTCAAGCAACTTAATATGTATCCAAAATGCCATACTGTATTGTGAAAACATGCAAAAACTATTTATATTTATTTTCCATAAGAACTACTAATATTTAATCATTTAAAAGTAATTTTATGCATAGATATGTACATAGTATTTAATTTAAATTCATATTAATTGTAAAACAAATAACCATGCTGATAATTTTCACTAGAATCTTCATAAGGTGAAAATAGTGCAGCCTCTAGTCGAAATCAATAGGCTGATAAATTGTCACACAAAAATTGTATAGACTTTAACGACAATATGGTGTGAACTAGCATGTCTTTATATTGCTATATGTATTTCGTATAGTGACTGAGAACTGGAAACTCTTTTTTTACCGTAAACAAGGCATTCTCAAGGGTGACAACGCATCTGCATTTTGATTCTAAATTGCAGATAAATGTAGATGTTTATGTACCACCACAGCATCTACGTCCCATCAGGTGAACTGTGTGCTTATTTGCCACCCTATTTCTATAAAAAATCTACTACTGTCTGAGCTAAACCACAGGCAATAGTTAGTATATCTTATAAAAGGCAATTGAATGACTGACAGCTTTTTGTATATCTTGTAACAGAAAAATATATTTTTTTATTCTGTTTGCTTTCAGCTGGAAGTAAGAAGAAAGTCTTTTACATAGAGAAGATTAAAAAATTTAAGACTTGCCAACAATTAAAAACGAGGCTGTTGAAATTACAAAATAAGTGCAAAGATGTTAAAAAGTCCTACCGTGTAGCAGAGATGGTAAGCAGAAATGAAAGCTTAATAAACATAATTGATAAGCTGCCTAAAACAATATCGACTTTTATGAAACTTCAATTGAAATCTCTACAGAAACCAAAAGGCAGAAAGTTACTCTAAAAGAGAAAATTTTTGCATTATCAATATTAAAACTAAGTTTTAGGGCTTATAGCTTTTTAACCAAAATTTTTGTACTACCATCCAAACATACTCTACAGAAAATCCTTGAAAATATATTGATTGAACCGTGATTGAATGAAAATATTCTAAATAATTAAAGAAAAAAATGTATAAAATGACACCTGAACAATGGATTGCCTTAACTCCTGGTTTATATTATAATAGGAGTATTGATCAGATAATTGGTTTTGAAAGAGATACTGAGAAAATTGCAGACCATTGTCTTGTTTTTATGATAAAAGGGATAAAGAGCAAATACAAATGGCCCTTTGTTACCAGTTCTGCCAAAGTGCAACTAAAAGACATATATTGAAAGCATTAATTATTGATATAACCAGAAGATTAGTTGTTTCGTAATGAGCCAATGATCACACAAATTTTTTTTAATACTGGCAGCACTGTCAAATGACAAGTTATAAACGTTTGTTGATACTCACGGGACACTTGTTGCAGCAGATTCTGGTCGAAATTTTAATTGTGCTTGTGAATTCACTTAGCTGAGGTAAGTAGAATTGATACATATTATATATAACCTTCCTAAGAAGACGTAGAAACTGTTATAATGGTAATTTCTTAACAATTTTAAGAGAAATTTGCATAGGTAATGATAGTTGAGGCTAGGTAAAGTTGCCACAGTTTGTACAGTGGCATCTTTACCTGTAGCTAGGGTTGTCACTATACTTTACCGATTTCTATACGTAAATGTTTTACTTTTAGGAGGGCTTACAAGCTGATTAAAACTTACGTAACAATATTAATACACTTATTCCAATAATAATCACAATAAAATTGTTTATACTTATCATTTCCATTTATATATTTATACAGCCTAACCAGATGAGAAAACTGTTAAAATACTTAAGTAATAATAATTTTGAAAAAAGATGTCAAAAGGAAGAATATAAGAACCAAAAATCTCCAAGATAATTCTTCTCTCGACTCTGACTGCTCTGTACAGTATGCAGATTCTTCGGATTACAATTCAATTGAAGACATGCAGGATTACTTATTGAGACAACTGATAGAACATCAGAAAATGGATGAAAAGGAAAAAGGTGAACAAATGGCCTATTTGGAAACGAAAGGACATGAGACAGAAAGATTGAGAACGGAAAGTGATGTATGGATAGAAAACGAAATGTTAAATAACAAGGAGAAAGAAGAATTTGGAAAACAGGAAATACAACAAATGAAAGAATTTGAAAAAAAGTATGAGATAAAAAACTTGAGAATAGAAAGTGATAATAGGCGAGTACAAGAGATGGTATATGAATATGACTTGGAGAAAATCGAATGTGAATTACAGGATACAGAGGAACAAATGAAGGAATTGGAAATAAAAGGACACGAGGAAGAAAACTTAAGCATAGAATGTTATGAAAGGAACGGACAGAATGTGGAAAAACAAATGGTAAATGAATATGAAATGGAGAGAGGCTTATGGGAAGACCAGGAAACAGTGAAACAAATAAAAAAACTGGAAACAAAAGAACACAGAATAGAGAAGCAGGAAAGAAAACAACAGATAGAAAGCCTAATAATAGAAAACGATGAAAAAAAAGGACTGAAGATAAAACGACCTAGACTAGAAAAGACTATGTTAGAAGAAGAGACCAAAAATGAACAAAATGAGAAGGCAAATAAAGCCGAAAGTTTACAATACATCTTGGTAAAGTTTCAAAGTACCAAAAATACGTATAAGTATTACTGCGGCCTGATTAGGAAAATATCCGAATGTGAAGGTGTTTTCGCGAAATTCATGAGATATAAAAAAGGTGGGTTTTACTGGTCCACAGTATCCGATACAAGTATTGTATTCAAAAATGATATACTTAGTGCAAATTTTACCCAACCCCTATAAAAACTGGCATGGAATTTTTTATTTTGATGTCAAATTTAAATATTAATTGGAATAATACTTTTAGTTTTATTTTCAATACACTTTGGCTGAAACTATGATAGTATAAGTATGATAAATATGTGACAACTAGTACTTTAAATACATTATATACTTTACAATTTTTACAAGTTTATCGCATGGTATTTACAGAACACTCCATGCGACTATCTGACTTGCATTTAATCAATGTTTTTATAGCCGTACATTTTAACTTCATTTTTAAACAAGTGGCAGATGATAATAAATTACATTTGTATGAGAATTTCAATGGAGTCCATGCCATCTTTACCTGTCAGCCTGTATTGCTCGTATATGTATTTTTTATTTAAAGTACCAATATGTCTAAACAGAGAGTGTAAAGCGAAAGGGTATCTTTACCAATTTCAGTTATAAAGGCTTCATTTTATCGAGATATACGGTATAGGTAAAGTAGCCATTTTTGCGGCATCTTTACCTGTGTTATGTTTTTGGTGCTGCTTTAGTGGTTTTGCAGCTATGAGGAGCAGTGCATTTATAAAGCAATGTAGAAGTACTAAATTCATCGATTAAAAAGAATAGCTTATTTATAAGTGTTTTATTTTTCCGTTTATTAAGTTTTTTCTTCAAAAATATGGTAAAGATGCCGTGGTTGACCGTACCTTTATTCCATATTTATGATCCTCCTCCCTATTTATTAAAGGGACTAAGAAATGGATTAATGGAAAAATATAAGATTCATTTTCAATGGGGAAGTCATGATGGCAAAATGGGAACATTTAAAAATGCTTTTAGAAATTGATGTTGAAGAAGATGATTTAAGAATGTTAAACAAATTAACAATTCATCATGAGCAACAAGATAAATTGCCTAAAGTGAAGGTGAAGTATATAGCTCAAGTTTAAATTCAAAGAGTTGCAGCCACAATGAATTTTTTAGCAAGTAAGTTGCTTATAGTTTTTTTTTAAACGTTAACCCCACACTAGGATATTCTCCTGGAAGTGGATATATGTTACAAAGGCAGTTTACAAACATAAATTGCACAAGGAAATACATCCAGACCCGGAACATTTATTTTAGGTTGTAGGCTTGTTCCGTGCGGAATTCAAACCCGCGGCCCCCAGTGCAGCCACTCATTGCTACGCCACTGCGCCACGAACATAAAATATACGATATAACATTAGAACATTATAAATATAAAATGTTATCTTATTTAATTAATAGTTGTTATTTATTTGAGAACTGTTGCAAATATACTCTTGAATTAAAATAATAAGATATCCATTTTTTATGTTTAAAAACTGTATCCATAAGGTTAATGTAAGACGAAAATGCAGTTTGTATGAAAAATATTATATTAAGACGTACAATCCATATAACTCGACAAAGAAGCGTGAAATTGGGACAATAGATCTTTATATTACGTAGGCATCCAAAAACAAAATATTTTGGAAAATTAAAACCCTAAGAGGGTGAAAAAGGGTGGCACAGTTTCTATGAAAGTTTTTTTTGTAGGGCGATTGGCTCGAAACAAACCCTCACAGGAGAGCAGAGGGTATTCAAATTTGTATGAAGAAAAAATTATGAATGTTTTTTTAAACTTTGAAAAATCGTGCAATTTCAAGTCCTTGGTGTGAAACAGGGTGTACAGTTTGTACACACTTTTCACTTTATGGAGCCATTTTATATGTATATCTTAAGGTTAAAGTTACAGGCTATATACGACTTACTGCTGGGCACCGGCCTCCCCTCATTTCTGATAGGGTTTTGGGGCTAAGACGTGTCACCGCACTGCACTGCACCCAATGCGTGTTGGCGAACTTCATATGTGTGTTATACGTGGTAGAGCCATGCTGCAGTTATATTAGTAGTATAGTTGTAGCACGAATGGGTCGGCTCGACCAGGGAAGGACCACACTCACACAGAATACCAGCGTAAAATAGTAGCTTAATGCTGCTGTGTTTCGTATCGTGAGTGTAGAGAACTAGAGCTTTTTACTGGAAACGAGGCATTCCATCTTAGTCCTCACGGGTGACAATGCATCTGCATTTTGATTTGTAATAGAGGATAGATGTAGATGTCTATGGGCCACAGCAACCACTTACCATCAGGTGGACTGTGTGCTCGTTTGTCACTCTATCCTATAAAAAAATAAAAATATGTCTTCGAAATATATTTCTCCTATTACTTAGACATGCCGGTTTCCTCACGATATTTTCCTTCAAGGCCGAGCACATAGTAAATCAGCACTTAAAATTGCAATTGACAATTTCATTGGTGCTGGCGAGGATCGAACTCGGGTTGATCGCATACTTTGAAATTTATAGCAAGCGCTAACCATCTGAGCTACCATACCTAATATGTATATGTATGTGAAAAATTATTAAACGAATTTTTTTACTTGAGAACTGGTTACGTAACACCACGGTATATATTATACCTAATACATAAAAATTAATGTTTGTTTCTTCGTATTTTATGCGCTGTCATACAGTTCATCAGATTGCGCTAAAACTTTGTTTAACTTATTGTTTGTACTTTTGCGAAGTTTATAAACATAGTACAATTAACTTACAATATGTGGTGCGAGTATCGTATCCACAAATTTATTTGGAAGTCATATATTCAATTTCAACTCGTGTAATATTATTCGTAATTAAACAATATTACTCTTCCAAATTTAAAATAATATTTTTAGAATTATTTCTTCTGCGGCTGCAACGCGCTGGGTGCTAGCTTAGTATATTAGTTATTACATGTAATATATATGGCTAGCAGATACTATATAGTTATGCCCTCTAGTGGGTGACCATGTAAAGAATCAGCGCCATCTTCAGGAGGTAGCTTGTAATTAATTTTAAAACCTCAGTGGCGTATCTACTCCCAATTATACTAGGTTATCAATAGCGGCTCCTAAATCAGATGAGGCATTTGATGTGGTGTTTTATTTTAATTCAAGTAATTTTTTTACTGTATTGTTTAACACGATGCGGTATAATGGGGACTCTCATGCTCACCCTGTGTATGAAAGTTCTTGAATAAAATGGAATAAAAAAATATTTTAACATATATTTTGGAGTTTAATGCAGTTTACTCCTTAAAAGTCGTTTCATATATGGCATACGGCATGAAAAGTAGATAGGTACCATCTAAACATTCTTGTTAATAAATTAGAACAGATTGGTATCAGAGGTATACCTCTAAAACTTTTAAAGGATTACCTCTCTGATAGGACGCAGATTGTAAGAATAGGTCAATACAGTAGTAGCTATACAAATGTTAATTATGGTGTACCGCGTGGAAGCGTACTCGGCCCTACGTTTTTCCTAGTGTATATTAATAATCTGTGTAGTATGAGTGTGAATAGAGGAAGAGTTTTCTCATACGCAGATGACACTGCGATATTATTTTGGGGAGATACTTGGGAAGAAGTGCAATTGATAACGGAAAAACAATTAGCTAGCAAGAAGGTTGCTCGTTGGCTTGATAATAACTTACTTACTTTGAATGTTAATAAAACTCAATTCATATGTTTTTCTATAACTAGCCGATCACAGCCAAAAGATGATTTTAGACTTAAAATACATAAATGTTACAATCCTTCCAGCGGTAACTGTACGTGTACATCTATTGAAAAAGTTTCATAAAGTATCTGGGCGTTATGGTGGACCAACGACTTTCCTGGTACAAACATGTCGAATTAGTGTCTACTAGAATTCGAAAACTTACTTGGATATTTAAAACTTTAAGATATGTTGCTTGTCCAGACCTTTTAAATCAAATTTATGTAGCACTTGCTCAATCTATAATAATATATTGTATACCTATTTGGGGGGGGTACTTATAAAAGTAAATTTATTGAAGTTGAGAGAGCTCAAAGATGTTTATTGAAAGGTAAAGTTATAGGGCTTTTTTATCGTGAGAAAATCCTCATAGATACCTTCTGCTACAGGGGCAACAGAAAGGTTATGCCGTACTCCTACCGGTCAAATCCCCACGGTGGACACCATCAGCGTATGTATATATGCGCAGTCCCGGGATCTCCGTTCGGAACGCAACCGGACTCCCTCTCTCTTCGCTATATTAATAGCACGTCCCAAGGGCAGTTCTTTCTGCACCCAGCACCCTCACAGTGTTATCAAGATGTCTCGTGACCACCGAGACATCTTCCTGCTCGGGGCCCCGAGCGTCCGCCACCCCAGAGACCCCGTTTCTGTTAGGGGAACACCGTTTATAAGAAGAAGGCCGTGACGAACAGCAGGATCCACCCTCACCCGATCTCGCTCAGCAGCCTCCTTCTGGACCATAACGGATTTACAGATGGTGGCTACGGCCCTCCACGCCGAGTCCCTGCTCAGCATCGCTGACACGACTGATAGCAGGGAGAGGTTCTGACCAATCCGGCTTACCAGGACCGTTCGCTCCTACTCCCACGCTGGACATGTTGCCAGGGTATGGGATGCGGAGTCCTGGTCCTGCAGTAGAAACAGTTCGCCGTTGCTTTGCGTCCGATCTTACACAAATAATCACCGAACCACCCATGCCCAGTTATTATCTGTGTAAGTTTGTAGGTGAGTCTTCTTACTCGTCGATGTATCCGGGCTTCGAAGTGCAGCAGGATTGCTTTAACAACGCATTTGCGCGCATAACGCTCTTCACATAGACGAGGGTGCCACGTTGCGAATGGGTTAAGCCGTTCCTGTCGCTTAACTCTTTCGAACATCTCATCTGACTCACTCCCACCGCTCTGGAGGAGGACACGTGTCCGGTCGTGCACCCTCGCATCCATATCCGCCAGTTTGTCAAGAGGTGGAAAGCGAGCCAGGACTGTTGCCGCCTCAAAAGATATCGTGCAGTATCCTCGCACGATCCGTATGGCCATCCTCCGTTGCACACTGTAGATTTTAGTTGTACAGCGTCGGATGGCCAGCCTTTTCGCCCAAACAAACGAGCTCCTTGGCCTTCTCGAAGGTGACCCCGCTAG